CCCTGCCACTTCCTCACACACGTTCTCTCCTACCTGGAGGCGCCCCCTTTTATGCGCAAGGCCCTCTTCCCCATCCACCCCAACCTGCGACTCGCCGGTCTCCTGCCTGGCCTCGACATGCCTCACCACCCGAACCCCATCGACATCGCCCTGCCGTACCGCGAGGGCGTGACCCTCGAGGCCATGGCCCCCAACGCCAAGGGCACCCTCGTCGACATTGGCAACCGCGCGCCCGTCCACCTCAAGGATGACGTGCCCCCGAAGACCCGTGTCACCGTCCATCTGCCGGAGGGCGACAACGGCCCCGCCGAGGCCGTCCACCCGGCCGCCCCGCGCGAGGAGGGAGGCTACTACTGGGGCTACACGGTGCGTCGCGCCGCTTCCTTGTCGGCCGTCTTCGAAGAGTCCCCCCACGAGGGCGGCTACGATCTGAGCATCGGCACATCGGAGCGTGGCGACTCTGTGAACCGCGCGTTCCCCGACCTGAAGAAGACGGCAAAATTCAAGCACCTGCTCATCGTCTTTGGCGGCCCCAAGGGCATCGAGCACGCCGCGTACAACGATGCCCAGCTGTATGAGATGGGCATTGGTGGCCAGGGCACGAGGCAGCTGTTCGACCACTGGGTCAACGTCCTGCCGGGCCAGGGCAGCCGGACGATGCGCACTGACGAGGCCGTCTACGTGGCCATGGCCGGTCTGCGGAGGGTGTGGGATCTGAGCTAGGCGACATGCGCAGAGGATACTGGGAAGAGGAAGCAGTGGGACGCATGAATCATGTTCACAGAGAGGAGACGAGAGTGTGTCGTGGTTGAGGATACCCCGGAATTTTTCTCAAAAGTTTACAAAGTTGGGACAACGTGCTGAATTTTGTTTCTTCCATCGACAGCGTAGTTTGAACGTCGTCACCATTCTTTGAAAAGACATCACCTGGTCACGAGAGACAAAGAAGAAGAAGGACGAGGAGAAATCCAAAAAAAAAGGCGAAGAATTCCCTGCCTACATCCACCTCTCCCCAAGACGAACACAAGAAAAACGGGACAGAAAAAAAAATCCTACTCGTCGTGTTTGTAAACGCCAATCCCCGCCGTGAATCCCGCGATGTTGTCGTCGTACGACGCGATGTCCCGGCCGTTGCGGGTGATCATGGCCCTCGTGCCGACAATGTTGAGGTTGTAGACCTCGACGCCCGTCGACGAGCCGACGACGCCGCTCGCCGTGGCGTTGCCGTAGACGCAGCCGCCGTGGCTGCCGCCAATGTCGAAGATGCGCTGCTGGCAGCGCGCGCCGGCGCCGATCTGGCAGCAGGCGGTGCTGTAGTCGTTGAAGAAGCTGTAGAGGCCGGCGCCGTAGATCTTGACGTCGCGCGAGGCCTCGATCTTGAGGCCCCAGGCCATGGCGCAGGGGACGCGCGGGTCGGCGTCCGGGTGGGCGCCGGCGGCGCACTCCTTGGCAAAGTCCGGGTCGTGGTAGGCGCGGGCGGGCGGGAAGGGCACCGTCGCCGGCGGGTTCGGCTGGAAGTAGGGCGTCTCGGTCTGGATCTGGCCCATGTAGACGTCGCGCGTGCGGTGGAAGAGGTACTGGTAGAGCACGTGGTGCTCGGAGCTGCTGGCGTGGAACCACAGGCGGCCCTCGTCGCTCTCGACGAGCACGCCGCGGCCCGCGAAGATGGTGATCTGCCGGTACGACGGGTCCTCGAGGTCGTGGTCCGCCACCCACACCCAGCAGTTCTCCATCAGCAGGCCCGCCGCCGGCCGCGTGATGTGCATGCTGCCCCAGGCCGCGAAGCACGACGGCTCGATGGCCACCGTCCGGTTCGGGTACGTCGGGCACTGCTCGAGCAGGAGATCCGTGCCGGCGAAGCCGCCGACGCGGATGTGCACGTCCCACATGCCCGACGCCTCGCCGGCGACCGAGTGGAGGTTGTACTCGAGAATCTTGGCGCCGGGCGCCGGTCCGCGCGTCGACAGGATCATGTCCGACCACTCGATGCTGCCCCTGTCGCCGGCGTTGGCCACCTGCACGACGGGGTGCGGCTTGTTCATGTCGCTGTAGCGCGGGCCGCCGCCGAGGATCGTCGACGACAGCGCCTCGCCGACGATGCGGGCACCGGCGGGAATGAAGACCGTGTCGGTCACGTAGTAGGCGCCAGCGTCCACAAAGGCGATGAGACCGCTGGCTGCCGTGTGGGCAAAGAGCTTGTTGAGGGCGGCCGTATCGTCGGTGCTGCCGTCGCCCTTGGCGCCAAAGGTGCGGGCCGATACGAACGCCGCAACAGGGTACTCGTCGTAGTGCGGCTTCGAGCGCTCGTAGTACTTGCCCTCGCCGTCGAGGAGCACGGCGGGCGGCGCGGGGAAGTAGGCAGGCGAGTTGCCAGTGAAGACCTCGGGGCCGAAAGGGTCGTAGACGTGGCCCATGGCGAATCCGGCGTTCGTAACAGTTTGCGCCCCGTCGGTACCAGGGATGATGATGCCCTGGGGTCCGGTGAGAATCTCGGCCACCGACTCGAAGAGGACGTTGTACATGACGAGCGTGCCAGCCGCGGAGCTCCTCGTCGTGTTAGACGCGCGGGCCGTGGAGATGGCCGTCTCAACCTGGCGGAACTCGCTGTCGAGCAGTGTGATCGAAGCCGTCCCATTGTCGACCATACGGATGCCGGTGCCGCAGTTCTCGATGTGGATGCTCTTGTAGGTCCAGCCCCAGTTCCAGAGCTGGTTGATGGCGACCTGGGCATTGGAGATTTTCCAGTTGCGCGCCGTGTACTGCTGGTTGCCGAGGTTGGCGGCGTACTGGCCGCCCTCGAACGTGAGGTCATTGAGCAGACCGCCGGATCCCTCTTCGATGAAGAGACCGACGTGCTTGCTCTGGGCGCCCTCGGCGAGCTTGAACACACAGTTCGTGATGGCAGTGGCCTGCGAAGACGGCCAGTGGATGCCAAAGGCGGCCTTTTCGGCGGGAATGGCCGTCGTGTCCAGAACGAGGTTCCGAATCTGGCGGAAGAAGGTGTTGGTGGCACCGTAGGCTAGACCGTTGGCACCATATTGGTTTCCATCAATGAGACCGAGCGTCGACTCGGTGGGAAAGTTGGAGGCGGCCTTGATGACGGGCCGATCCGTCGGGTCGCCGATGAGCTGCGTGTAGTAGTAATCAATGATGGATCCATTGATGAGATAGGTGCTGTTCGTCTGTCAGTCTCCTAACCAGGCCATGTTTTGTCTCTCCTTTTTTTCCTCCCCTTCGATGAAACTCACCCAGGTGGGAAGTAGACGGTGGCCGGCGACGTCGTCTCTTGCTTGCAGACGCCGGGAGCGCATCGCACACCGAAGCTGATGGCCTTGTTAATGGCAGCCGTGTCGTCCGTCACGCCATCGCCAACGGCACCAAAGTCCCGAATGTTGCGGAAGACCTGGTAGTCCGGGTCCTCGTGGTACGGAGAGAGGCCTTGGTGGGCAATCTCCTCCATCCAATAGCCCTGGACGGCGCTGGCAGCTGCCAGGAGAAAAGCCGCCGAGACACGCATCTTGAGCCTCGATCGCTCTGACTTGGGGATCTGGCGAATCTGGCGGGGGGGTCGAAGAAGGGCCGACAGGGGTGACCGCGGTCTTCAGATGAGGGCGGCGGTAGAGGGGCCGAAAAAGGAGTGTATGGGTGAGATGTCAATCTCGACCCTGTAGTTTGGGTTTGAAAGAGTGTAACGATCCCAACGAGGAACCTGACGATGATGAAGCTATCTACTACCTACCTCTGTCATACAAGGAGAGCGACGCGAATTCCGTCCACAGCATGAGACAAGCAGCTGAAGGAGGAGGAAGCGAGAAGCACTGCCAAGGGACGGCTCTCGCAAGCGGGATCTGGTGGCTAGGGCTGGACTTATCTAGAGGAAAAAAGCAACGACATGTGCCGTGGTTCAGCTCCCGACAGCTGATCCAAACTCGTTGAACACGAGCTGCCGCACAAGGAATTTCCCCGCGATCATCGGCTGGTGAAGCCTCCATTAGGATTGACCGTGCCGGACGCGAGGCCGAGTGGTAGCATTGGCGACGGGTCGCCGGGGTAAGACCGTGAACTCTGAAAGGGGTAAAGTGACGATCTGTATTGGTCCCCTTGCAGGGAGAAGCATGGGGGTGCCACTGGGTCAGAATGCTACGAGGTGGAAAGGCTGTGCTGATGCGTCGAATAGGGGAATGATCCGCTTCAATGAAATGAGCCTAATTGGTGGTGTGGTGCCTCGACACCTAGTTGCCAAGCACATGGAGGGCGGGGGAGAGAGGTCTAGATGGGATGAACAGGGCCGATTTGCAGCACTTTGCAAAGGGTCAGGGTCTTTGCCAAAGGTCATCATCGACTGACAACCGATCACAAGACGTTGTCAGAGGTGCGTAGCTGTTGGTGGGCTGATCGTTGAAAAAAATACTTGTTCCCTGGTAACCCTGAGTTGATGGCAAGGCAAGGAAGCGAGTCAGCTGTGAAATGATTGACTGTATCTGTAACATGCGGGTAAACCTTAGCATAGGACCACGGGTGAGCCTCAACTCCGTCCAAGCCGGCGGCTGTGGGTTCGCCAGGCCATGAAGCCTTGCTATGTAGGTAGGTAGACATGCAGTCTGCATTCCACACGTGTTGTGGTGTCTTGTCTCGTCGCGCTCTGTCTTTCATCAGAGGGTAAGATCGTCGCTGTCAGCGCGCTTCAGGGTCCCGACAACGTGGTTTCTCCGGTGCTTGTGGCACGTAAATCCACCTCGTCATTCGTCCTTGTGGCTGGCGGCCTGTCGGCCATGCATGGTAATACAGAAATGTAGAATTTTTGTTGGCCCCCCCATGTTGAACGCGGGGTTGTGCCGTTGGGTTTCTCCCCAGATGAATGAAGCCGCCATAGTGGCCCCTCCCCCCCTGAACGCCGTCCATGCTTCCTCTATCGTACCAGTAATTGACTGTCCGTCACCAAGCTCTATGTGAAATCCTAGTCGTGATTGCCGAGTGATATGGCCGCGGCGCCGGATGCTTTACAGGATCTTCGGCGCATCGCCCAATGCAACGGTCGATCCGAGATCCTTGACCATGCCGCTGCCGCCGGCCCTCTTGCGCAGGACGTTCTCAATGAAGGCCTCGCCCGCCTTGTAACTGCTCCTGACAAGGGGTCCGCTCGCGCAGTACAGGAATCCCAGGTCCAGCGCGCGCAGACGCCACTTCTCAAACTCGTCGGGCGTGACGTACTTTTCCACCTTGAGATGGCGCTTCGTTGGACGCATGTACTGGCCAAAGGTCACAATGTCGACATTGGCCTTGCGGAGTTCTAGGCAAATGTTAGCAACGTAGCACTGGTTCGGACGGTCCTTCCGCAAAAAGGGGAAACCCACGCTTCAGAGCATCCTCAATCTCGTGGTCCTGCTCGCCGAGACCCAGCATCATGCTCGTCTTGGTGATGAGGCCAGGCTTGGCCTCCTTGGCCGCCGCCAGCACGCCCAGGCTCTGCTGGAAGGTGGCGCGGCGGTCGCGCACAAAGGGCGTCAGGGCCTCGACCGTCTCGACGTTGTGGGCGTAGACGTCGAGGCCGCTCTCGGCGACAATCTTGACCATGTCGAGGTTGCCCCAGAAGTCGCCGGTCAGGGCCTCGACCAGCATGCCGGGCTTCTTGGCCTTGATCTTCATGATGGTCTCGGCAAAGTGGCGGGCGCCGCCGTCGACGAGGTCGTCGCGGTCGACGCTCGTCAGGACGACGTAGCCGAGCCCCCAGCGCGCGAGGGCCTCGGCCGTGTGCTCGGGCTCGTGGGGGTCGAGGGGCGGCGGCGCGCGCGACGTCTTGACGCTGCAGAAGCGGCAGCCGCGCGTGCACGTGTCGCCCATGAGCATGATGGTCGCCGTCGCCGCGTTCTTGTCGTCGCCGCCCCAGCACTCGCCAATGTTGGGGCACCGCGCCTCCTCGCAGACGGTCGACAGCTTGAGGTCGCGCAGGTCCTTCTTGATGGCTGCAAAGTTGGCGTTGCCTGCCGGGATCGGCGTCTTGAGCCACTCGGGGAGCCGCGTCACCGTCTTCTTCTTGCCCGTGGCCGTCGTCACCTCGACTGTGCGGATCTCGTAGGCTTCCGAGGGCGAGAGGGGCGCCGAGCCGCCGGTGGCGCCGCCGGCGATGAAGTCGTCGAGGGATGCGACTGTCTTGTCCTTGAAGTACGTCTTGCGTCGAGTCGTCGTCGGCGGCCTTGCGGACGAGGTTGTCGATGATGTGCTGGTCGTAGAGGGAGCTGGGGGGATGGTGGCGAAGGTACGCAATGTTGTGCGGGCAGCGAGAGCCCGGGCTAGGGGACCTCGCACATGGCGGAGGGGAGCTGCTGAGGATGCCATTTGTGACGAGTGACGATGCAATCCGTGGCTCGCAGTATCGGCTTGATGCGAGTCGGCAAGATGGCGTCCCTGTTGTCGTCGAGATTGAAGATTCAGGGTGGGTTCTGTTGGGGCGGCGACTCACGGAAGCTGGGGGTCGAAAATTGATGACAATTGCACTCTGTCGGATTGAATCGGCATAAGACCCGACCCTCCAATAGCAGACAAGACGCCTCCCGCGTTGCATCTCTCAGAGTAAGTGATCGCATATGAACCACAACGGCGGGTGCACTGACCAACAAGGCGAGGTGGCAGAGTGGTCTAATGCGATAGACTAGAAATCTATTCACTTCGGTGGCGCAGGTTCGAATCCTGCCCTCGTCGAACCTTTTGTGACATGGGCGCGTGCCATGTTTTGTCGATCGAGTCCAGCCTGATCTTTTGCGGAAAGCAAAAATGACGGCAGCTTTGTTTGGCATATCCCCCCCCCCCCCTGTTCAGTGGTAACTAAGATTCAACATCCTGTAGTCACAGGTCATAGTTAGGCTCGGACGAATCGACATGATGTGTTTCACTCTCATCTACCTGGGTCCATCTCATGTTTGCACGAGAAGTCTCATTCAAATCTCAACTATCTTCATCAGGCGTCGAGAAGCCATGGACTATGGAGAACAATTCAACACCAACCGAATACCAAAAAGGTAGCCAGCTTTTGATCGCTTGTCATCCACCATCCACAACTCGCTTGGCCGCGTGATCTCAAGAACCTAAACCGTGGGGTATCGTATCAACAATTCACAAGAAATGAACTGTTCATCCATCAAAAGTCTCCAAATCCTCCAAGCCAATAAAACCCGCGCCACGCCATCCGCAGCCTGGACCTCTGCCATCCGCTGCATGCTCGTCCTCGGGTCCGTGGCCCGGCAGGCTTCGATACATGAGCGGACAGTTACCTGCCGACGCTGACAACAGCCCAAGGCCGCGCCATGACACCGTTCGCTGGGGAGCAGTCCAGGTCGGAGAGGCGCATGATCGCACGCAACGCGACCACTATTGTCGCCCGGACCATATGAAAGAAAGCAAAACAGAGTTTTTGGTGTTCCCAACCAGACCAACCCAACTCTGGTCAACACCGCCTAATGCAGGCCGACAAAAAAATCCGAAAGTTGTAAATAAAAGCCAAAAAAGGGGGGGGATGGGGAAGGTAGAAAGGATGATCGCATCCGAAGAGTTCGTCAGGTGAAATGCATGGAAAGCGCCGCCCAGCTCCGTACGCTGTACTCCTCCGTTGATGTCATGTCTCTTGATCGTGTCTCGCGCCAGTTGGCACATGCCGTGGTAGGTATGTTACATGAGGGAGAGGGCAGCGAGACCGGCGATACCGGCCATGACCATGTTGGAGACGCTGAGGGCCTGGCCAGCGTTCTCGTTGGAAGAGGTGACCTGGGCGGGCGCAGACGACGTCGTGGAGACGGAGACGATGTCGCTGGTGGCGCTGGGGATCTCAGACGTGATGGTCGCGTTGCGCGTGGCAGTCCAGGTGGCCGTCTCGACGACCTTGGCGAGCATGATGGTCTGGGTCAGGGTGACGGTGGCCGTCGTGGTCGAAGTGTCGTACTTGTCGTCCTTGTCGTCCTCACCCTGGGCCATGGCCAGGGCGGGAAGGAAGATGGCGCTGAAGAGCGTGGTGGCCTTCATGTTGATGGTGGATGACGGGACGTTTGGTAGTTGTGGGCGCTGTCAAAGCGGCGTCGTAGTCGTCGTAGATACAGGGTATGTCTGATGAGCCCCAAAGAAAGAGAGGAGGGTGATCGTCAAGATATGTCCGAAGGAGGGCGTGAAAGTCTTGTGCTTTCAGATAGTCCAGTCTGGGAATGCTGTTTCCAAATCTCTCAAAGATAGTGTGGCTCTGGCGACGTGTATATGCTCCGGGTGGGCGCAGTGTCCAGATATCGAGTCGACGATGTGGAGAGGCTGAAGGGGGCCGAAACGGCAAAGTGGGTTGTTTGTGTATAAGTGAGGTTGTTTCGCGAGGGTCCTGATGCGCTCGAGCGTGAACAGCGGCTGAGACTTTGCCAACGAAGTCTGTGTGTTGTTGAAGTAGACGGAGGTTTGAGGTGAGGTGAGGTGAGGGTCGCGAGAGTTGAGCAGTGAAAGGAGCAGCGCAAGCGCGGGTCTATGAGGGAAATGGAGGGCGAGGCGCGGGTTAAAGTGGCTTCAGACGCGGGAAGAGAAGGACTGGACGAGGGAGGTGTGGGTGGGCGGGAGTCAAAGGAAGGTGTAGTGAGTGGATGGTGTGGGTGGGCGAGGTGGGTTGGGAAATGACTTTCTTCACGGCATCTTGGATCGGAGGAAGGGGGGGCGAAAGACACTACCACCACAGCAACCAGTCTAGGCGAACCCACACGCAGACGTTAGTTAGGCGCGACGGGCATCTGGGACTGGACTGGAAACCGCCCAGCAGGTACCCCAGCAGGAGCAGGAGCAGGAGCAGGAGCAGTGTGTGGTGGGCAAGGTGGACAAGCAGGGAAGGCACGCGAGACGTTGTGCCAGGGCCTCGGTGCGACAGAAACCAACAAGCAGGGCCGAGTGGTGGGTGTGGAACCCCTGCCAAATGCTGCAAGTGCCTGCAAGGTACCCGACCGCATCCCCCCCCTGTCCGTCCTCGAGCCCAGACCTTGGATGTCTCGATACTTGCTGTCTCGCTCAGAGTCCCTGTCAAAGGGAAGTAAGTGTACATCAATGTCGCAGCGGCGGGGGAAATGAGAAGGCACCTCAGTCCCAGCGTTTGTCCTGCGTTTCGCGGTTTGCAGGCCATGTACCGGCCGTCATGCTGTCATGGGTGGGTGCTCGCTAGCACACACGTCGTCGGGCGCTGTACCTCCATTGTACATTGTGCGCCGGTGAGTCGCAGTGAGCGCTGGCGAACAAAGGGCGGAAACCATTTCGCTCAATTGATCGCATGTCTCGACCTGACGGCTGTATTGCGCCCGACGTCACTAGAAGCGAGTCATTTTCTATTTCTCCTGGTCGCCGAACCTGCCTAGTTACAAGTACCAACGGACCTAGATTCAGATGGCATGTCTGCTCGGAGATGAATGAAAGCCCTCGTGAGCACGCTCATTAGACGCTTTTTATCCCAAATTGACGCCATTCACAGAATTGGGCAGCTCATCTTGTGAAGGCGCCTCATGCGCGCCCACGAGCCCACGAAGCCCACAAGCCAACGAAGCCCACCCCCTCAAAGGGCGCTCTGCACAATTTCCGATGTTGAACCTGCCGTCCCTCATTGGCCTCCAGGTACCGCCCTGTACCTGGTTGTGCCTGGTGCCTGGCGCTAGGCCTGAAGTGACCCGTGAGTGGTCGCCTGTGGGTCTGTGCAGCAAATTTCTGATCAAGATCTCCCGCACTTTCTGCTGTACATATACACGGTACACCTTCTGACAACCGCGCATCACACGTCAGGGAAGGTGACAGGGAAGGTAAGGTACCTGGGGAAGGAAGGTACAGTGGTATCCGTTCCTTCCCGGCTTTCCATCGCTCCTGCCCGTCCCCCCCTAGCCTCGTTGTCCGGCGAAGATCATCCTTTTGCGGAGGAGGGGGAGGGGCCTCGCCCTCTCTATTGCTGTGCAGACTCTGCTTTCCCAGCTCGCCCGCGTGCCCACATGCCCACACCTACCCACAACATCCCGAAGTGACAAAGGGTTAACAAGTCAGACTTCCAATCGGCAATCGACAGGCTGCAGTAGTCACCACCACCGTCGGGAAATCTCTGATCTGCCAACTCTGTTTGCAGACCGATTGAAGTTTTTTTTTTCTGTCTCGCAAGTGGCGATACTTACGGCGACTCTTGGCCCTCAATCGAAGCGTCTCGACCTTGGCTCGACTCATGGTCGGCTGGACCCGACCGCGAAACGTCTTTGTGCCGCTGTCGTCCCTCCGTCGTCGCAAAGTTTGTCTCCTGGGCACCCAAGGCACCTCCCCCCCCCCACCTTCAGCGCGGAAGCGCTGAAACGAACATGGCTCCAGACGAACCATGACGGTGACATCGTCGCCCACGCCGTCCACGGGGCGACGACGAGACAAGACGCGTTGCGGCCATGGTCACCCTTGGGTCCCGACGTAGCACCATCGTGACACCAGCGTCTGCGCGCCCAAGCCCTCCCTCGCCGTTCTGTTTGTCTCTCCTTGGTCTCGAGAATTGCCGTCACTCTGCCTTGGCCCACACCGCACAATGCGCCGACAGCACCACTACCCCTGGTCAATCGCCCGCCAGTTCATTGGCTGTCGGCTGCTTCACCTGAATCGTGGCCAGGCCTAAAAGCCGAGCCACCACTGGATCATTGAATCACAGGTATTGCGTGCGCCCTTGGCTCATCCCCAGCAGGTCTACCTGTATACGTCAGTGACCACCAACGTCGCAGCGTGTACAAACGCCGCAAAACGTTCCGACAAGGGCGTCAGACAAAGCATTAGCGGACCTGTCTCGACTTTGTGGTCTGTGGCGCTCTCGCTCTGCCGCCCCTCGCTGTCGTCATGATGGACCCTCGACTCGGGACACACCGCCTGGTCCCTCCCTGAGTATGCAGACGCTGTGCCGCGTTGCGTTGTCCCTTGGCTTTCATCGTTGGTCAAGTCGTCGCCACGTCGACTGGCTTTCCAGGCAGTCACGCTGGCAACCGCCGTTGTACAGTCGTCGAGAGTGATAGAGCTGAACAACGTGACTGGATCGTGGCGACAGATGGGTCCCCGACGGCATGCTCCTTTCAGCAGGTGTCGCTTCTTCAACGTTCTGACAAGTTCTTTGCGTGCTACTCATTCCAGAGTCACAAAGTACTCGCATGCCTCGCTTTGTCGGGAACTTGTCATCATTCCGCGCGAACCCAATGGGCAGGTCTCACCGCATGAAGAGAATGAACGGGGACCCCATTTCCAGTTGTCTTCGACCCTTGGGCGAGAACCCTGAAGTTCGCCAAGGTCGGAAACACGCGACGAAATGGCCTTGGTCAGGTCGTCTCGGCACTGTGCGACCATAAACTACAGGTAGGTCTGTTCGTAGGCAACTGGATTCGTCCTTGGTCGTCGTACAAGTCCTGAGTCGTCGTGTGCACATCCGCCCTGGCTTCCTGCGGCAGGCACGTTGGTGTTTAGGAGTGTCAGAACATACCCACTGAAGTCATGCTTGATGGCAGATACACCGTCAGTTATCGCTGCATTCCTGGCACGGTGCTTCCCCGCGCCGATGCTATCGAGGCGACAGAAATGTAGATGACACATGGCCTGTGAAATATTTCGAACGCTAGCCATTCGGACTAGTTCGGTATCCAACGCGTTCTTTCAGTTCCATTCGGGTCACGACGCCACCACGGAACGTCGTACCGCTTCTCCAGACAATCTGGGCCAGCCTTTGAGGTGCGTAGGGTTCGCCACGATCGAGGCACATGTCATGTCTTGGCATGAAGACAACCACGAAAGCAGACCGCGAAGTATGTTTTCTGTCTCTTGGACTTTGCCCTGCTGGTCTATCAGCCACTCTGGGTATGTCTATTCCTCTGTGTAGATCGACGCCATCGAAGAGTGGGCTGAGGCAGAAATGCTTTTATGCGTACGTGTTTGCGAGAAGCTGTAAAGCTTGTCTCGAGCGATCCCAGTCGATCCTGCGAGGTTTGTCGTTACCTTTGCGGCATGTCTATCTGTGACTCATATGGGTACAATTATGAGACCAAGACGAGGACAAAATGAGTCCAGTCCAACGCATTGATGAAACCTTTGATGGAAGGGCCAAAACATGTCGTTCTGAGTGTAAACCGTGACTAATATTCCTAAACCTCCCAGCTTCATCTCGACACCTTGAGAGATGGCTCATTCAAGTACGAGCAAGCGGGCATCGCCTGTAAATCACATTCATGTACATGCCTGAGAGAGCTATTGCAGGATCTATCGAAGGTTTGGCGGGGTAATTCATTCATTATTTGCCGCGAACTACGTAGCATTGTCAAAATGCTACCACCTTTGACCCTATTTGAAATTTTAGAGCCCAGTAACAAAAGTTCAAGAACCTGACCCACCAGCGCATGTTCCAGCTCCAGTCTGATGGATCCTCCGACAGGAGTTGCAAGGCTTGGTCCTTGGCTGTGATGATGTTCCTGATGGAGTCCGTAACTGCAAACTCAATCTGGTAGTCGAGAAGGGGCTGTTCTATGCGTGGCTCGACATCAAATCACACCAGCTGCAAATCTTGAGACGGGCAATCAACGGGTCTCGAACGTGACTCCTTCTTTCTGCTGTTCAAAGGTTGCAGGCACGAAGACCTCCAGTCCGCCACGCCAGGTACCTTCCGACAGGTCGACGATCGCCCAGTCCACCTTGTGCGTATTGACTGTGACTGAGACGTCGCTGGCCGTGATGCGAGGATCGAGCCGGATAAACTGGAAAGTTCAAGCTTTGTCTTTCACAGTTGACGTCGCGACCGCCAAACATGTGTCCACCAATGTCAAAGCTCCACCCGCCATAGCCAATGTTGACCTTCGTAAATTCGGGCTAAAAGGCGAGAACCGACCGTGTCGCCCGAGAGATCGACGGCGTACCGATGGTTTCCGGGCCTGGCGTACCGCGCAAAGATCAACGGAAACTGGGCGAGGGCGTGGTCGAGGTAATGGTTCAGGAGCCACATGGATCGATACTCGGGGTCGTTGAGTGCTCGACCTGCTGCAAGTCGATCCACCAGAAGTCTCAAGTTTCGTTCTTGATTTTTGGGTGAAGCATCTCAAAGTGTGCCTATATGTAGGCTTTATTAACCGGATCAAATTGAATTGGCAGCCTGTGCTTGTTTTGATATCCCATTGCAGCCACCATTTCATCATGTTGGTCTTCGAAAGCGTGTAGGCTGCCAGCGGGGTGATCACTGAGGGTCACCTTGAGGCGTCTCTCTCGCATTTCGTGGAATGCCTTGGGGTCTGGCATGAGCTTGCAATCCCAATAGTAGCTCGCCCAGCCCACCGTCGTGACTTTTCATCGTCAACCGGGTGCTAGTCCATATCCAGCACGGCAACTGTCAGTGGAATGAATGCCTTGGCTGGGCAGAACAATGACATTGCAGTAGGGTATAACTGCATTGTGAACCTCTTATCAGTAGTCATTGGGCAGATTGCAGCCACCATCACTCTTGTATCACTTTATATCTGTGCCGCTGCGTGTACTGATGGTCTTTACTTCGGCGGCTTTACTATGTGAACCACGAGGTTCACGCGCTTAATGATAAATGTATCCTAAAACAATGATGGTAAAATAGGCTGGCAATCACATACTACCTACTCAAGGTACTTCATTCTGAACTCTGCTCTATCTCATTCCGTGACAGTCTCGAATACTTTTCTGGCGTTTTCGGCGGACGCGTGTTGATATGAATGGAAATGACCAGGGTTTTACTAGGACCAAGGCCTGATTGAAAGTGAATTTGAGAGATCACCTTGAGGGTTAGAATAACAATGCAAGGGCACGGAAACTTGCACTCATTGCACTCATGGGTAAAATTTCCTGCAATCTCTTCCCCTCTCCACGAATGCGGACTGTTGAACCCGCTCCTTCCTAACCTCTTGACAGGGCGTGAACCGCGAAGATCAAATCCAGAGGCCAAAATCACCCTCCACAAACGAATCATGCGGATCAAGCGCATGAAGTCGAGGCATATCCGCTTTTGCGACCTCCTCAAATGTCTTATCGTCGAGTCCGGCCAAACCATTTCCCGACGACTGATGGGAACTTCTGTGCCCAGAGAGGAGGCCCCTGTACCAGACATGGTATACGTATACTGGTCCTAGGATCCATGGATGCAGGCTTCGAAACTTGCGGAAGCTCGCAGGGCAACCCCACAATAGCAGGCGCAATTGAACCACGATACATCCTGACTGGATCCGCCTTGTTCACAGAGTCCATTTGATTGCGAACTGTGGTCCCGTTTTGCAGTGGCTTAATAGGGCCGAGGAAGTTCAAGACGCTGGCTGTGATCCATGTGTGGATGGTGTTCGTCCCGTTAGCTGACAATGTCGATGTGAACAGTGACATGGCTAGTCTTTGGATCGATGTAATAGTACGCATTCACGATGTGGAAGACAGAAAGATTCCTGACTCGATAGGTTGCGACAGTAGTTTCTGAGGTTGAACCAGAGCCATTGGAACTAGGGGCACTCTGAGACGTACTGCTTGCCATCACTTTGGTCCAGGATGTAGAGCGTGGTTGGTGAATCATGCTCACAGACCACCTCGCCGAAGAGATACAAAGCTGATTGGAAAATTGGAAGCCCAGGGGTAACTTATATTGACACAAGACGGATATTCGCTGCCCAGTCGCAGGGATGACGGCAAACACCGCGGCTTTAACATCAACACACGCGATACAAGTATTTTTGGTAGGACAGGCCCAGGCTTCTCTACCTTGCTGGACCCTTTCAGACAAGGTTCTAGGATAAGACGGCGAGGAGGGGGTTAGGACCAGAGGTAGCCTCAGGAGTGATCAGCCCGCGGTAGATCCCGAACACTTATCATTTTGTTATGCTGTCACTTTTTGATAAATGCTCTTGTTCAGTAACTCAGTGGAGGAAAGTATTGATTTATTGACCCAAACTCGCAGCACTCTGTAAAAATGGTGTCAGAGACCTAGATCGCTATATCTGTCTATACTTTCTAGCTTTCAGATATTGTTTTGCGCGACCGCTTTGTACTCTGTATCAGGCAGACTTCAATCCCAAGTCACCTCTGACTTCTACGTCAGCACTGGAGGCCCCTCCGAACCAAAACTATAGCTAGCAACTCTTGCCTCCCTTATGGCTTTGGAAATTTATGCAACAAAGCTGGCGCTGTTCTCGTGTCCGCGACCCCGCTTCGCTGTCTGCATGAGAATTGCGGCCTGGCATATGAGCCGGCAATGGCTGGAGTCTGTTGCTGTCATCATGTGCTTTGTCTTCAGCTGTCGCAATATTCTAGCGGGATGTGTTTACTACTTTTCTTGTGCCAGGCGCTAGAACTACCGCAAGACCTGGCGATCATGAAATGGTATCCCCATGAGCCGCATAACTTCTTCAACAACTTTGCCAGGGATCGGGCACGCATGATGGCACTTGAGATGTATATTAAAATCCACTGGATGTGAAATCTATGTACAAAGGAACTCTACATTGACCGACGGAGCGGTATGGCTGCAGGAATATAGCCTCACCTGATCACATCAAATGGCGTCGGGAAACGCCATGCGACCCTCCGCGGCCCGCTCAAATATCAGCTCTGTCCACCGTGACCTCGGGCAAAGCCGCGTCTCCCTGGCCGAAAACACCACCATCCCCCCCCCTCAAGACGAGATCAGCAAAGTCACCAACGATACCAGCCACGATCTCGCTCGCACGACCAAACGCCAAGGTTCCGATCTGAGACTGCAGCAGCGCAGCGGCGTCCTCGGGCAGCTCGAGGTCCAGCGTCTTGACGAGGGTCGGAAAGTCCGTGAACGAGGCGTGCACGGTGCCGTTGACGGCGAGCTGGGCCTTGGGCCCCCGTAGCGCGGCGTAGAAGGTGTCCCACGTCGCGTCTTCCTCCTCATGACCGGGGCGGCCGACGAGGGCGAATGGGCCGGAGACGCCGGCGCTGAGAACGGGTTCCGGGAGGAGGCCGTCAATGTTCATGCCGGCCACGAAGCGCGCGTCTGTGAGCATGGCGGAGGCGGCGGTGGCGCCGCCGAGGGAGTGGCCCATGATCAGCGGGGCGGAGGTGTTGATGCCTGGGGTCGGGGTATTCAGGAGGTGGGTTAGGAGGAAGGATGCGTCCTGGGCGCGGACCTGGGTGAGCTTGCCGATGGCGACCATGTCATCGGTGTCTATGTTCGCGGCGGGGTAGACCTCGCCGTCGGGGAACTCAACATAGTTGGCGTCGTAGGGGTGGTCTATGGTGACGACAGCGAAGCCGTGGCTGGCGAGCTCTCGGGCCATGGCGCCATAGAGGAGGCGGGGGTTGCCCCAGCCGGGTGAGAAGATCACCAAGGGATAAGTGGCAGAAGGGGGGCGGCAGGGCGAGGTTCTGGCAACGCAGAAGTCCAGCTCGAAGGAGGAAAAAGTGCCGTTGGGCAGGCCGACTGCGACACCGAGTTGATCGTACGCCTCGGCGACGAGGGGAGTCATGTAGGGAACGATCTTGTTATTGCGACAGGGTGTCTGAGTTTCATTGACAGGGAGAAATGTCGATATCAGGATACGGCGAGCATGCGTAGCATTAGCCGGGGCGTACGGGTCGAGGCGGTTCTCGTCGGTGAGCGGCGTCACGGACATGGAGACGGCGAAGGGGCCGGTAGGAGGGGCAACGAGGATAGCCTGGGCCGTGGAGGCGAGAGCCAGAAGGTTGATAATCGACTTCATGGCGTAGGACAAGTGAAAGAAAGCGAAGTTTTGAATTGTCCAGAGGGAGATAAAATATTGGAGTGAAGCCTTGAGTGACAGGATAGTTGTGATTCTGGTGTTTGGATGAGGCTGAAACCAACCCCAGTGGGCGCGACGCCCACCATCTTATACTCTGCTTCTCTGGTGCCTGATTCCCTTCCTCACGATGATTTCCAATGTTGGCCGCAACGTTGATGCCACTTCGGGCGAGGTCTGGTGGAGTGAGCGTCGAGGCTCGGCGCGGGCGTCCGAGTCAGGGGTAAGATGAGCGGAGAATTTCGAATACCGACAGCCCTGCAAGCCATATCTCATTGGATCAGCTCTAGCGCCGCTCGAATGCTTCCGAATCGGGTTTCGCGCTGATCCGCAGTTTGCCGTGCGGCCTACGTCTCGGGCCTCAGTTCGTAAGGTCAAGGTCCGACTTCACTTGGCAAGGGTGTCATGTCATCAGGTGACAGGATGACAGGCGGATGCCGATACACGGAGCTCTGCAGATTTGTATCCATTGACAAGCCTTGACGCGATGCTTTTTCCCTTTCAGGAACCATTCTCGCGATGCTAGCTGGGCCCTTCGATTTGCGGACTCGCCGTTCGCGGTGTACGCAATGCGTCAAGTCGCACTCCAAGGTATGTTGAACACGTTTGCCGTGTGATGTTTTTGCTTGTGTGTCAGGGAACTAGGTAGTGGATGTGAGTCGAGGTTCTGGAAGACACGAAGAGGCATGCCACACGCATCGTCATGCCATGCCCAGAATCCTCAGCCACACACTGCTGCATGCTTCTGCCGGCATGATAGACATGGTTCGAAGACTGACACCCCCAGTGCTCCGGGTCGAACCCCTGCACCAGCTGCCTCAAGCGCAAGCTCACCTGCGTCTTCCCCAGCCAGATGACAGCCAAGCGAGGAAAGGCCATCACCCTCGACCAGGGCAAACACCTTACGCAGATCACCTTTGCCGTCTCCTCCTCCTCGTCATCCTCCTCCTCGACGCCCCCCGTCGTCTTCACCCCCTCCCCGTCACCACCCCTGCCCGACCCGACAGCCCACGCCCTCTCCCTCTTCACAGTCTTCATCACGCGCAACAGCTTCACGGGCCAGCCGATGACCTACCTCGCCGACCTGCCGCCCCTACTCAGCCCGTCCTCGCCCCTGCTCCCGGCCCTGCACGCCCTGGCCAACCTGCAGCTCCGCCGCCCGCGGCCCGCCCTCGAAGCCTACGGCGCAGCCATAGTCTCCCTGCGCCACACTCTTGCCTCCGCGCCAGCCGCCTCCGTTCCGACGAGCGGCGCCGCCACCCCGGCCTCCGCCGCCGATGCGACGCGTACGACCGTCCTCTGGACAACCTTCCTCCTCGGCCTCTTCGAGCTCATGACCGACGCCTCGGGCGCGGGCTGGGTGCAGCACATGGTGCACGGCACGGCGCGGGCTCTCGTGGCGCTGGGGCCCGCGGCGTGCTCCGCCCGCAGCAGCAGCGCCGTGGGGCGTTTCTTCCTGCAGGTGCGGGCGTTCGAGGCCTGCCGCGCCGTCATCTTCAACGAGGTCTCGTTCCTGGGGGAGGACAGCTGGCGGGCCGTCTTTGGGGGGCAGACGGAGGAGGATGCCGTGCTGGATGTCATTGTGCGCTGCTCGGGGCTGCGTGTTCGGTGAGTTGCGGCCTGTTGAAGCCTTCTTCATTCTTTCTCTCTCTCTCTCCCCCCGTTTTTCTATGTCTCCGTCTCTCTCTCTCTCTCTCTCTCTCTCTCTCTCTCTCT